TTTTTAATATTCTACATTAGCTCTATTTTCGCAGTCATATCCTCACTTTTTAAGTGCAGCAGCTCTTACACACTCAGGAAACTATTTTCTCATAGAGCACATCACTTAGGGCGCGCATTATGCAATTGCATTGTTGTCTGTCCCCTTCCACTCTTCGGCCCCTTAATTGTGTGGGCATGGAAGCATATAAGAAATGCCACACAGCAAAAGAACACGGAATAAGCAACTTATTCTCGCCAGTTGGCAATTGTTTCAACAGCTGCTGCTGCTGCTGCTGCTGCTGATGCCACAGTTGCTTAATCTTGCCTCATTCAATTTCAATGGGCGACTGCAAAAAGTGGACAGTAGTACATTGTCTAAGCACAGCATCAAGAAAGGTTGAAGCACTCGAAACAGCCGTTACATGCTAGCAAGAGCGAGTAGGCACCTCTACCCCAACACCTGGCCCCATGTCCCATGCCCCTGCCCTTGTCGTTAGCCGCAGGGTCAGCCAAGTGAACGACTGCATGCCCTACCCACAACAATTTATTATTATAATTTTTTTTTATACAACAAAATTATTAACCCGATTTGTAGACTTTTGCACATAACCGTAATTTCGGATTAAGTCAATATTTGTCGAATTTAGTAGACAATGGAAAAACTATTGTCTAGCTTATATGGGCAACGATTTCCTACCAACATTCAAACTAATTGAAATTTATTTGATTACCCGCCGAAACGAGGTTTCAATTTGGATCAGTGTAAGTCACAGTACAATATGTCCTCGTTCTCTTTCCTTACGGTAGTCTATTTCCTTCTGTCTTCTATCACATCTTCTTCTATATTCTATTCCATGCAGAGATCTGATATGGCAAAACTATGTACATATTTTCTTTCTTTACTTACTTCTATCTGCTCTTATCCGTCATCTATAATTTTTCTTGAATTCTCTATCTTCTTCTTTCTTCTATTCATCGAAATATCTCTGCTAAATTTACGAAATTTGTGGTGTATTAATTTTATTTATTTATGCATAAGCCAAGTTTATATTTGCATTTTTTCCAGCGATTTTGGGCACGCGTTAATTAAGAGTAATTTGCAATTAGTTGTGAGTCGCATTTGACTAATTAATGGGCGCAAGCGTAGGCGATTAACACACTTAAAAGCTGGCGACAAATTAAGAGACAAGAACAAAAATCACAGATTCTACAAGCGGACTGCAAGGCAACGGTTATCTATAAATAGATAATATTTATAAAATACAATAAGCACCACCAGCGACTTGATGTACAAGCGGTAAGACCCCAGCCTAGCAGTAACCTCAGGCCCACAATAACTTTTTGGGGGATAGCAAGCGTGGACGAGAGGGAGAGGGGCGGAGAAGGCAATAAAAACAATACAGTGGCAGTGGCTGCTGCTGACAACGTCGCAACTGTTTCTGCTTCGGCAAGACAAAGAAGACGCAACAACAAAAAAAAAAAAACCTCAAAAACAATAATAGCAAAAGCAGCAGCAACAACAACAGAGAGAGCGACTTTGAAATGGAGGCAATGAAATTAATATGTTTTGTAACCAGAATTCTACACTAAAAATAAACAATGAAGAAGAGTTCTAAATAAGTGGACACGCTGGAAGCAAGGGAATGCATATGTGAACTTCTATACAGATAAACACGCATTCATGCATATTTACACACTCCCATACAAGAATGCATATGTGCATGCAATATCATACAAATGAAAATGTAAGTATGGGTATGCAGAACTGTATACGTGTACATACATACAAATATTATGTCAAGTATAAAAACTAACAACAATGTGGCCTCCACACAGCAAGCACGCATACATACTCAAACACACACACACACACACAACAATGCTGGCTGAATTCTTGTTGCGGAACTATAAATGTAATTGGAGTCTTTTGCACATTTGCATAAATCGTAGGCAGCCACCAGAAGCGCGATAAACAAGCAGAACAGCACGAAGATCCAGTGAAACAACAGAACGATAACAAAGTACAATCAAAAGAAAGAACGGACAAGAGCCTAAGACAACAGCAAGAACAGCAGCAAAAGCGAAAGCTGTAGATTATCACACTCATGTTATTGTTTTGCAATTTTTTTTTTTTGCAATGTTAGCGACTGTCACTCCCTCTCTCTCTTTCTGTCTTTCTTTGCCATTCTCTCAGCTATGTTGATCAACGGTTTCGCTCTCTGGTAAGCCTTTTGCTTGTTTGGGAGATTTTTATTTTGTTTTTGGCCTGTTTGACCAAATACTGCGCAAGTCGAACTAAAAACCAGTTATTAAACGAATGCAAAGCCCGTAACGACACACAGGGAAAGGAGCAATGTTTTATGTTCGAGCAACTGTAAATTCAATGTGTCAGCTTTTGGCCAGGTGTCCCAAGGTAGCAAGCCAGCTGTTCGATCAGTTGCCATAAATATCTTACAATTATGCTTGCATTTTGCATTATTGCCTTGCCTTGCTTTCGCATTCAACTTCTGCGCAGTGTGGCCAGGCGGCAAAGCAAAAAGAAAAACATTGAAAAATGCCGCTATAACATATTTGCCATATTTCCTACAGTTTTGTTAGTTAATCTAATTCGCTTTACGCACCTATCACAGTGTGTTGTGTTTCTATTTGCTCTGTAGAAATTTGCCGACACTCACTCTCACACACACTACGATTGTTGGTATGTATGCATATGCGAAGTTCAACTCCGGCGCAGCAGCTCTCGCTCAATCTCTATCCACGCACAGACGACAACAACGACGACGACGACGACGACGCCGCCTTTTTACATTTAATATTTTTTTCTCTTTTCGCGCAAAAGGAGTGGCGTCCACACGTTCACAACTTTACGTTTGCAGCTTGTTTTGCATTCACTTTAGCACACACATATGCATGTATATGTATTCATATGCACAATACATGATTATTTAGCAACACTTTTCCTTTTTGTCATGTTCTTTCGCATATATTTAACTCGATTTTGTGTACTCCTTTTTTCCAGATCTGTAAATCTGCCAATTAACAGTTATGTATACACATTCTCATACACGTATATTATTCAATTTGAAATTTTGTTTTCGAAAGGGGTCGGTCCAACGGACAGTTGTTTGTTTTTATAGTAGTTAAAAATCGTTTCGGTTTAATTCATTATTTCTTTTCTTTTTTTCTCGTTTATTTTTTATGCGTAGAAGCGCGTCGTCTGAGCAAATATTTTGTTCAACTGTGCTAGCAGAACTCTGGGCAGCTTTGGCCAGCAGGCAGGTCTGCTTAAATTTCATAAACTCGGAAAAAATACTTGGTGGCTCTGTAGAATTTACAATTTGAATTATTCAGCTTGTCATTCACTTAATACACGTCCGTCGCGGATATTAAAATACATAAGTATGAACAAAGGAAATTTTGGGTGCCGCTCAATACGTCCGATAACACCATGCGCCGACGACTCGTACACAACTAACTGTATCTATGCAAACTCATGCAGAATAATCGAGTATGAAAATTAATGAGAGCGATAGAGAGAGAGAGAGAGAGAGAGAGAGAGAGAGAGGAAAAGGCGAATAACAGAAGTAACCATTACAAAGAGCACGAAGAGAAAAGTTGGGCTGTTATGCTCAAATGGCACTGATAATGTTTTATTTTTTGGGTGACCATAAACCAACTAGTTCTTTAGTGAACAATCAACAGCGAAACGATAAACAACATTAGCGATGCGGGCTTTAGTTTCAATAATTATTATCATTGTCTGCATAATTACGCCAAGTCTTTGCAAAACTTGTACAGACCTCTTGCGTGAACTGGCCAACGCTCAAATGGAATTCGTTTACTGCAACACGAGGCACGCGCTGCCCGTTCAGGACGAGCGCCTGTGCAATGGCTGCAAAGTAAGATTTGACGAAATGTCAACATCTTACAGCGATCTGATGAAAAGCTGCTCAAAAATTTACACAGACGCAGATCGCCTGAATATCTTGACAACCACACAAAGTATGCTGCAGAGCCTGTGGGATCGTGCCTATTGCGAGGGTAAGTCTGACTAATCCACCTATGATTCACATGATTTACATTATTAATCTATTGTGTACTGCATCTATGAATAGAGTGCTTCAAGAACAACAACTCCGGGAACTTTACAAGTTTGTATGACAGTTTCTCGACCTGCTTGGCGGAGCACCCAGATAGCAAGTGCACCAACTGTCTGCTTGAATATATAAACATGAACAACTTTTACAAGAATTTGGATAAGGAGAGCAATGGCAAAATGTGCTTTGACATGCAGGATATAGTGAGTGTTAAGCTAAATGTCGCTATAATTCTTGCTCTTTCACTAAATGATCCCCTTTAGATGAATAAAACGCGCGTCCTATGGTCCAAGGATCTAAAGTGCTGCAAGCGTGAAGTGAAAATGTCCACGTTCCTGACGACCGTCGTCGTTGTCGCCGTGCTGCCCATTCTCCTCCTCTACAGCGGCGCCATTGTGCTCACTAAGCGCCGAGAGGCAAATCACGGGCTGCTCAACGAGCAGGAGCCGGAACTGGATGCACCGTCCACATCTCAGCTCATTACAGCTGCTATTCTATCAACTCCGACGGTGCCGCCAGCTGTTGTGGACTCAAAGTTTAATAAAATATCGAACCTGTTAGCTACACGTGATTCCGATTTATCGAGCGATGATGAACCAATTCTACATCCAAAACAAAGTAAGCAACTGTTAGGGGATTCGCCGAAATAAGTTCTAATGCATGACACACACAGACATATATACTTATATGTTATGCCAATTTTATACGAAATGTAAAAAAAATTTACCTTAAAAATTAGTCTTAACTGTACGACCTTTTATTATGAGCTGTTTAAGTGTGATATTGATCGTGAATCTGTTTTTTATATTTGCTCAGAACAATGATTATATACAGCTTAAGTTCTTAAGATATCTATCATACTACATACTTTGGATAGCTTCCGAATTGTTCCAATATTGCAATACTAAATATGATGTATTGCAATATTGGAACAACATAAAATTGAAACGCTTTATTATAAACAATTAAACAAGCGTACCAAAGTTTTCTATATCAATGTCAGGATCGATATAGCCCAAAAGCCTATTACTTTCATTATGCGATGTATACCTCGTCTGGGGCTGTTTTTCTTGATGTAAAGTTTCAGGCTTATCGACAGCGAAAAAAAACTGTTTCTTTAACATTTTGGCATCCGTCTGATCGCGTCCATTGGCATCATTTTTGATAAGGTTTTTGACATAATTTTGTCTTCCTTCCTTTTCCTGTAGATTTTGAATCAAATGCTCTGCTATAGATTTCCGATGTGCGATTATATCATCATTTAATTGCCGAGTTAGAGCTGTTGTCTCAGCAGACATTTCATGATCTACTCCTGGCATCACTTCCAGCTCATTACCCAAACTCTCGAGGACGCCCAATTTGGCTTTCAGCTGCTCATTGGCCATTAACAATTGACGCTCTATCCTATAGATGTCGTTCACCTGGTTGGCCAAGCTCGTATCCAATCTATCGATTTGCTGCAACACCTCGTCCTTGGTGTGGTAAGCGAGTCGCATCTGATGTTTACGCACCTTGGCGTGCAGCCGGAGCAGTTCCTCTTCCTCTCGTTGGAGTCGAACATTTAAAGTGTAAACCTTTTCCAGCCAATAAATATTCGCATCGAGCGAAATATTAGAAACTATCTCAGCGGGTTGGTTGGCATCAACTATAAATAGTATATAAATATTTTAATGAACATTAATTATGTACCAAAAACTATATAATATAATAATTTTATTTTGCTACAGCTATTATAAAATTTACAAATTAATTTTTGTATGCATAAATAAATTGTAGTTCACAAAGTGTTCTTACCTTCATGAATACACGCAGGATGTGGGCTATTGAGCTTATGGGAGCTTGTTACGCACTCCCATTGATCTTCCAAATCAGGTCTATCTAGTTCTTTATCTGGCGCTCTACCTAGTGCATTTAAATATGTGTCGATCAAATAGTTCTTACCCAACTTCTGTGCCCTCGCTCGGTGTTTTTCATCCTCAATCTTTAAGATCTGTTGCTCCTTTTGGCTAGAATGTAGGGACAGATAAGACCTTTCAGAGATATTCCCAGAATAAAAGAGGGTGAGAGTCCAACTTACTTCAGCAGGTAGATTTGTCTCTTGATGGTTTCGTCTTGGGCCAGTATAATATTCAACAAATGCTCATTTGGATTTAGATTGCACGGCTGCGGCTGCAATGGTTTGGTGTGCTTTGGTAATGCTGTGCCTTCTGTAACGCCCATTCTGTGTGCTTTCCCTCGACGTCTACGATACCGTTCACTCCGCGCACTGCCTACGGGACTGCCCATGCCGCTGTCCTTATCGGTCGACATGGAGAGCATTGAGAACATTTGGCTTTCCATCTGTTTACAAAAGCGCGCGGAAGTATCGGATGCAAGATTCCTAAGCTGGAGCTCACACTGGTAGATAGTGTATTTTCAATAATATCAAATAACTTAATGGGAAAATCTATTAATATATACCTGATTTTTGGTCAGTTTATCTGCAGTTGGTATGACATCCATTAGTCGAGTGCTACCATCTAAATATTCCTCGAATCGACTGTCCCGCAATCGTTTAACAATTACGTATTGATGTAGGTTAGTATTGAGACCCTTGCTATAAGAAGTTTGTTCGTTTTCTTTGGTATTTGTTATTGTTGTTGCTTTGTGATTTGTGTTTTGGCTAGATGTATGAATGGATCTACCCAATTTGTTGGATAACGTATTGTATATTGGTAAATGTTCATTGTTCTTCCCCTCGAGATCTTTGTAATTGAGTAGCGCACATATCAGATCGGTACACGTAGTGTTTGCATCCACACCAGAGACCCAATGTTTCTCCCCGTCAATTGTGACTGAAATCTGATCTATCAAGTTATCCCCAGTACTACGCACATCCGGGCTCGGGTCACTGTCAGCATTACAAGAAATTCTCTCGTTCGGCTTGAAAAAGTGTGCGTAGTTGGAATTTGGAGCAACGACTGTGACCGACGCTTTCTTCAAAAGTCCTGATTCCTGCTTCAGCATTATCGTTGGCACTGCAATGAGTCAGACGGAGGAAGAGAACGAGAGAGAGAGAGAGAGAGAGAGAGAGAGAGAGAGAGAGAGAAGAAAGAGATATAAATGCGTTTGTCTTAAATGCATGCTTGAACCATTTGTTGTAGACACTCGAATGTAAGGCAGAGGAAAGGTGGAGAGTAGAAGGTATCAAAGACTTAATTCCTTTGGCTTCTCTCGGCTGAGTCACAAATCAAAGCGAAACAAAAAAAAAAAAATACTTCCGTAAGAGAGCTGCTTTTGCTTTGTTTGATTTCCCAAATGAAAGTGATATTTACAAAACTCTGCACAAAACGAGAATCGAGTATGTAATGAAAGGGTCCGACTAGCATATACCCTAAATGCACAGACCGGTAATATAATTAATTCAAATAAATATAGAATCATTTCTATTATCGATCTTATGATTTCGATCTGAACTATATGGTATACATAGTATAAAATATAGTATGTATAAAGTAGATACTAAACTATTTAACGCCTTCTGTTTCTTTGTACAATTACCTTAAATTGGAAAGGCAATTAGGATCTACTTCCCATTAGACTTTTCGTAATATCTGTAGCCCGATTGAGTTCTAAAAGTAACTGCCTAAGGGTTTTATTATGCCTAATCTCCATAAATCTAAACCACAGGCAGTCTTTACACATGTCCAGAGTAAAGAGGCTTTCGGACTTTACAAATTAAAGTGAGCGCTGGGAAGAAATCTATATATCTATATACACAGATACATATATATAACTAGCAATGGGTGTATGTTGTGACTTGAGCAGAATTACAAATCGCCGACACCATGGCATTTTGGCCATGCTACGGCTCGTTAGTAACCAGACAACAGCAGCAGCAGCAGCAGCACCAGCAGGTTTACCACACCCAAAACTGAAGTTTGTTTGGCATTTAAAATGGAAGCACTAAAATGACCAAAGTAATTTATCGCATTCATAATACGAATTGATCATTGGCCGGCCAGCACAACTATCCAGTGTAGACAAATCTTTGGCTTCCACTTGTAATGGCCAAATCACGTTGAGAGCGTGGAATCTAGCTTGGGTTTAGAAAGTTACATCGTAGCATTGTAAAGTACGCGTGAAGCTTAACTAACAAACATTGTTCAGAGAATATAATTTGGAAATGACTGTAAGTACCACAGAGAGGTAGTCGATGCGAGTGGTACTGACTGTGGGATACTCGCTCACGACATTAATGACTTAAATTACATTTTCTAACTTCCCATGAGTCGATAAGTGGTTTTATGTAATTTGGATATTTTTTTGTAGATCTATAAGTAGAGCTGAACAATTCAGTACGTTTTATCAGATTGCCTACATTCCACGCCCACAAAAATCATTTATGTATAATAGCCAAACAATCTCGAAGAGTCCAATGTAGATTACATACAAATCACATATTTCTTTCCATAACTCTTAAACAGACACAACAGTATTTTATTCACTTTTGCCGCGCCCCCAATGGCGTATATGAATATATATCAATGAACAATCTCTACGATTCAAAGTCTATAAATTCCTTTCATTTCGTAAACAATAAACTCCATAATTCTTGGAGAATCCACAGTTACAGCTTCTTTTTCTACATTTACCACGCCCACAATAGGCGTACAGCATTCGAGCAATCTCCGAAAAAAAGAGGCCACTAAACATTAACATTAACATTACACAACATCCATCTACTCCTTTCATTTCATTGGAACGAACGAGTATAACAACTCTTTTGATTTACATAAAAGTGGCAATTATAACGGTTCTTATTTCTTAAGCTAACACACACAAAAAACTAAAGCCAAAAACTACACGCTTCAAAGCGCTTGATATGGTTGTTGTTTACTGTTGTTGTTGGACTTGTTCTGATGGCAGTGTTTATTGTTGTTTTCGACTTCCGATTTCATGTTTTCACCAATTATTTCACTGACAGTCATTAAAAACTTGTTACGATCTAATGCAGCACACTATTTCTTAAGGTGTTTATATTTTAATTATATATTTATAGATAAACATACATCGTCTTTTGCTTTTCTTTTTTTGCCCCGTATTTACACCTGCTACAACTGCTTGCTGGCCCGCCGCCAAGCCCAACCAACTCTTTTGGCGTCGACTTTATAACTGAAGACAAAATCCAAAAAAAGAAGAAAAAACGACATATAGAAAAAGCTTTCAGCTCTCAGGTGCAGCTTGAAGAGAAACTCACGCTTCACGCTGAAGAGCTTCAACACAAGCCGAGCATTATTTAAATACATATAGACAAACATAATTACACACATAAATACATTCATTGCTAGTGGACCAACTTAGCTAATATTGTGTCGACAGACACACACACAAACGTCATTAAATACAGAGCTAAACACAAATTTGTGTGTTGCTGCGCTCTTTGCTCTCCTTGCAACACACACAGCTGACTCAATACAATAATTCTTTTACTTCTGCTCTCTTCACTCTTAATACAAAGTCGTAGCTTAACGTAACGGAGCTAAGCTCAAACACTTCAGCTGACACATTCACTCACACACACTCGCTTTAATATCCAGTGATAAACAATGGTTGGTGTGTTGCTGCACTCTTCGGACTTCTTACAGTGTGTCACACAAATACAAATAAAATTCGGTTACTTCTGTTCTCTTTACAGCTTAGTTAACGTAACGGACTCAGACTCAAGCACTCCAGCTGGCACACTCACACACACACGTACAAAGTCATTAAATTAGTGTGCTGCTTCAAATTCGCTCCCATTACAGTCTGTCACACATGAACAACATAGCTAAACACACTCACACGCAACTTAAAAGTTTTGGTTATTCTGCTCTCTTTGATCTTAACGATCTAGACTCGATGCCGCATAAATTATATGCGTTTGTAGCAGTCGATTGTTTGTTTGTTTGTCTCTGCTGCGAAGTATTATGAAACTACAGATTCAGGTGTATAAATAGTGAATAAAAAAAACAGACAATTACCAAAAGCTCTTAAGTGTAGCACAGCCGTTTGCATCTAACGAGTTTGGCACTATGCAACACTTTGCCAAAGTTATTCAACTGTTGTCGCTAAGTCTGGTTTAGTCCGTTTAAAACGTGACGTCGTCGTCCTCCTCCTCCACCTCCTCCTCCATCGCATTGCTTACACTTGCAAAAAGTTGTTATTTTATCATGACTACAGGTTTGTTTTTGTTACGCTTTTTAACCTTTCACTTTCAGTTTAGTGGTTGTAACTATCGCAATAGTTACCCAAAATTGTAATAACTTGAGAAGTTGACTTCAAAAGCTCACGATCGCGGTTGAAAGTTTAAAGCAAACTGATTTCAATAATTGATCATTTATATTGATATTTATATT